ACAGTATCTTTTGCGTTGTGTAGAAGTAAGGCGTGTTTTACGCTATTATTTCAGTATGATCATCATCACACGTTTATAGCAGTCATCATTGTGTCCGAAGCTGGTATTTCTTTAGTTTCGTACTGGTAAATTGCATAATCGAAATAGGTCAATCATCCGACTGTTCATACTTTTAGGTTATGCATAACTAGACAGGTTCATGCTGCTTCAACACAACAATCAATCAATTAGTCAGAACCACAGGTAATGAGCAAAATTGGGTTCCACACCCATAAACAACCAGGCAAATGGACAGATGATCGAAATGCGAGGCAGTTAGCATATCGGTTGTATTATCCAACTAATAGTGCCTGACACCAGATATGCTTTCTTCTCTTTATAACGCTTAACCTGCAAAATCCCAAAATCAAGAAAGGGACTGTGGAGCATGCAACCACTGAAATGTTACTCTGCTACACGCTTTCAGATTGACTGTATTTTTGGGGCAAATGATTTTGTGAGGCTTGTGGCTCAGTATCAGCCTTGTCGGTCAGGTTTCAATGTTTTTGCTTTGTTTTAGAAGTGGCACCTACAGTATATAGTGCTTTATTTGCGCCCCACTTTTGCCGTACACCATATGCTTGCATATTTTTGATACCTATGTCTTGTAGTTAGTTCGCATGGGGACCGTCTAAGGGGACCATTTTAATACCTTTTCTTAACAGTTGTTGTTTGTAAATATGGACAGTTTTTCTCTGTGTGGATAACTGGATAACTTAAGCGTATTAACTGTGCCTTGCATTGCATAGATATTTTCATTTATGCATCTTGGTAAGATCGCCGGAATTCGAACCCGCTTCATTTAACCGTCTGTGTCCGATGTTTCACCGTCTGAGCTTCCCAAGATCGCAGGGTGTACGCTTGAAACGGCAGCAAAACCCTGCGGCTGCGTCTTTCTCCTTTCAGGATGAATGGTTATGAACTGTAGAGAATGTGATGGATTCGCTTCTTTCTCGTTCAACTACCATACGTGTGTTCTGTACCGAATTCCATGATACAGATGGTCTCGAGGTTACAATTTGGATTACTGTGTCTTTCATAGAGAATAACTAATTAAGTTCTGTATCATCGGTGGTGAGTAGTAAGGCGTTGCTGCGTCTGACAAACGAAAGCAGACGCATCCTTGAGCTGCAGCGTCCCTCATAGCGCCACGTTGTCGCGATCTGTAATTTAAAAGTGAGGATCGGTGCCACAGTGATCCATAAGCCGCATGTCCCCGTGCCGAAGCCTGCGTTTTGATCATTTGATTCTCAGGCTACAGAAATTGTGCCAACGAACGAAAAACGAATGCTTTGCGACCACGGCGATTATGACGAATCGGATATTTTTTCCGCGATACGGTCAGCAACAGATGACGCGGCTGTCATCGTTGCACATTGGCCCATCGACGGCCGAACGTTTCGAAACGGAACGATCGTCGAGCATCCCGGATAGCGTAGTGCACCATACGACGGCGTCATCTCGTCCACAACACTTCGCATCGACGCCATTCGTCGTCGTCTGTCGGTGGGTTTGAACGGACCGACCGACGGAGGAGTGACCCAGTTTCGTCGAAATGGCAACTGTCCTTCTGTGGCTACAGACACCCACATACACCCAGATGTGCGGTTGGACGGCGTCGATGCTGG